ATGCACTGAGCGTCCGCCCTCGGGCAGCTCCTGATCTGGCAGGAAGACACAAGCCCCAGCGTCCCTGATTGAGCAGAGTGGCCACTGCTTTCCTGGGGTTGCAAGACTCCAAACAGGCAGTGGGACAGACGAGCAGGGTCAGGAGAGGGCAGCAGGTCTCGAGTGGTGGAGGAAAGCGAGGGCCCCGAATAGAGGCGACTCCCAGTCCAGGTGGAGGGTCTCCGCCAGGGGGTGGGGGTGGGAAGTAGCTGGACCGGCGCCGCCGGGGTCTGCGCGTCACTGGTTCTGCTCGAGCGCCTGCGGGCACACGCGGGCACCTCCGTCTGTAGGCCAGTTTCAACCCGGCTCCACCAGCTCCTCCTTACCCTCCCGAGGCTGAGGGAGGGCCAGGGACCCTGCTGAGTGTTGGTAATAGTTGTTAACTGTGGTTGATGTCTGCCTGTGGGGTTGCTGGACGGATCTGGGGCATGGAGGCAGGAAAGCCGGCTAAACAGCATTTTTTCCAGAACGCGGCTTCAGGAGACTGGTTTGGACAGTGGGCTCTTTTGACTCCTACTTGCTTTGTAAGTGGCTGCAGTGGCTGCTGCTTTCCCCTGGGACAAGGACAAACTAGAATGAGAGGTTGTGATCTCAGCACTAGAAGGGGGTCCACAACGCATTTCTCCCCGGAGGCCTCCCCTAGGCGTGTTTCCCTATCGGAGGGCAGCCGCCTGGTGAAGTGGAGGAGGGCGTGGGCTTTGCCGGTGGGTGAAACTGGGCTTAGACCCTGACCTCGCCTTTTGTGTGCTATCACCTTGGGTGGGTAGCTGACCTCCTCTGCAAAATGAGGCTAATGATTTCAGTGTGTCGCTGGAATACCTCCTGTGTATTCGATGCAGCAGCATCACTGCTATCACTGCTTTGCGATAAAATGTACATGAAGTGCTCTAGGATGGGCAGGACCAGGGTTCCATAAACTGGTGATGATGGAACCCCTACAGCAGAACCATTAACATTGGGTCTGCCCCATGGGAAAGGCTTCAGCAAGATGGCAGGAGGTGATGGTGAGGCTGAGAGGGAGATGCATTCACATCTTGTGTCCCTGTCACCACCTCTCCCTAGCTGAATGCTGCCGTCTTCCTCTGTAACTTGTCCCCACCATCTTCTCCATACCTGGGGAGAATTTCAGGTCCGTGGCTGGGGAGATTGCTTTTTGATTAGTTGATCACTTGGAACCCTCCGGATGACATCCTTAAGCCTTTGCAGACTTCCTAAACAGCAGAGCTGTTGCCGCAGCCTTCTGCTCAGTTTCCTGTTCCTTTTAGAAGTTTGCAGCTGGGAGCTAGCCATGGCATGCGTGCCATCCTGTTTGTGCTGTTCAGGAGGTGGGAAGTGGGAGGAAACAGTGGGGAGGAGAGAGGGCGCGGTTGGGTGAGAAGGTAGAATTATGTTTCCAGAAGCATCGAGGCTCATTTGAAATACTGATTCCTCTGGGGAGGTCACAGCCCAGCCTTTGTGGGGCTTTCAGAGGGGCTATTTATACATTTTGGTCTCCCTGTCAGAGTTGCTGCCTATATTGGCGACACTCCAGTTCTGCTGAAGTAGGGTTTAAAAAAGAAAGTAGTAATTACTAACTTCATACTCAGATGTGGAGGTCGGAACAAACTCAGAACAAAAGCTTTCACAGAAGCATTCTACTCCCACTGCTCTGGGGGGAAGCTGGCATCCTCCTCATCTCTAGCTAAAGCGGGGTTCTTGGAATAAATAAAATAAGGACTTTCATGCCCTTGAAATCCATCATATTTTGAGTTTTCAGGTCCATGTAATGACTTCTATCCCTCACCCTTCACACATTACTGGGAAGAAGATGTAGATTGAAATGTTTGATCTTAAAAGCAGTCTTTCCTTCTCACATTCCTGAGTCCTTTGCCTTCCTCTCCATGCCTCGCTCAGCAGTTTATTTGTCAGAAACCTAGGGACTTAACATCAGATTCTCAGGATATGCCTGAGAATCTCGGCCAAAGGGGAGACCCCAAGTGAAACCAGCATAAGAACCATCCAGCTGAGCCCTGATCAACTCTCAGAACCAGAAGAAATAATGAAAGCCTGGTCACCTGAAGCCACTAAGTTATAGGGTTAGACTAATACTAAGGAAGCAGGGGGAAGACAGTGGCCCTGCAGGACAGTGTCACCAATGCACAGTGTTCTTACTGTGTTTCCCTGAGTCTCACGCACAGCCCTTGGCCACAGCCTGGGTCCAACCCTGAGAACTTGGGGCAGCCCTCCGCCCAGCAGCTGGAATTCCTCCATCTTGCTTTAAGGTGACCATCCAACTTCAAGGACCAACCAGGAAAATAGAAACATCTCCATGCATTGAAAACAGAGGGAAATAAATATAAGGTATTGGTTTCACTGGTGAGAGGCCAATAGGGGACCATGAGGCAACAGAGATGTCAACACCAGCAGGAAGCTGCCAGCACGTCCAGGCTGCAGGGGCAGAGGGATCGGACGGCGGGTGGCCCTGGGGAGCCAGGCCTTCCCGGTGGACTTGGAGCCATGGAGGAGCAAGGAAGGTGGGGAAGGGAAGTCCCAGCTTCTCCCTTCCTCCCTCTAGTCTTCCACCAGTGCCTCCCTCAGGTTAGCGGGGGTGGGAGGAAGGGGCCGGAGGGCAGATGGGCTGCAGACTGGCACGCTGTCCGCACCGTCCGCGCCCTGCCCGACCCCCCCATTAGCAGGAGGTACTCGAATCACACCCATCATTTCTTCTAGTCTACCTAACCTGCCAAATGACCAAGATGGAAACATTAAGTTAGTTTAGGAGGACCTCCTAGATATCTTTATAAATGAGGCACTGTGGTTTCAGGACGCCCGTCACTCATGGCCCTGGCTTCCAAGTTCTACCCCACCAAGACGGGTTATGGGGCCAGGGGATCAGAGGATGAGCTTTATAAGAACACAGGTGGTTTGAAAACTAGTCTTCCCCTGAACAGAACAGGGGCTTTCTCCTCCCTTTCGCCAAATCCCAAACACCACGTCCCCGCTTAGCAGCAGGTG